TACTTGAACTGTTTTCAATAATTAAAGAATCATTATTCAACATTAAGGCGGGGGTTAATCTAAGATTCTGTAAAAAAAAAATCGAACACGTTTGTTTTTACCGGAATTTGAATCTTAAGGTATTGAAGTTTTATTTTGAGAAGCATTTGTTACTGGAAGTTCAAAGCTCGTTTTCTCAAAACGAGGTACATGTATTTTTGCCTTTGAGAAGAGATATTCTGGAAAGGATTTGTCCACGTGAGCTGACATTTTCAGGATTTGTTGTTCTAAGGGACTGAGCAGTAATACCTGGAGTGGTGGGCTGGGAAATAGGTGAAATATGCCCTAAAACTAAGTCATACCCCCCTCTCGTTAAGCAAAAATTAATTTCAACCCTACTTCACAGATTGACAATATTAAGGCTAACCTCCCCCTTTGAAAAAAGTCTCCTCCGATTGATTCTCTCATACCTGGTTTACTTGTTGGAGTTCTTCCTCCGGTACAAACATCACTTCAAGTGACTCTTGAAGTATGTCGAAGAGTCATTTGAAGAGTCATCAGAATCACTGGACTCTGAGCTTGTGCCGTCTTCGCATGAATTGGGAGATTCCTGATCTTCTACAACATCTCTGGCACTAAGGTTCCCGCGTGCGTGGGCGAGAACTCGGTCAATCAACTCAGCCTTGCTTCCACTTATCTTAAGACCTTTTGCTTTAGATACATTTTCAGCTGCTTGTTGGTAAGCGCTTTTACATCTTTTTCAATTGTCCAAGAAATAAGCGGAAGAGTGTTCCTTTCTCTTACTCTTTTTTTGGCTTTTGCATCGAGAAACTCAAGGTGCTGTACATAACTTTTACGTGCAGTCTCGTCCACGTTGTACTGGGAACATACCTCTTGCAAAGACCTTTCTTCAGATAGGAAAACAACAGTTCATAGATCAGAACGACCTTAGAGTTGATAAATTTGTCAGGTTTATTCNTTGTACTGGGAACATACCTCTTGCAAAGACCTTTCTTCAGATAGGAAAACAACAGTTCATAGATCAGAACGACCTTAGAGTTGATAAATTTGTCAGGTTTATTCCAATGTTAGTATTTATATTTGAACTCTAATAATTCTTCCACTACTTTTCCAGTTTGCAAAAAGGAATGAAAAAAATAATGCCCCCCCCTGTATGTATTAAATTTTACATCCAACATCCCCTCTCTCTTGTTGTCATTTTCTCCTATGCCACCCCCTCTAATTTTCCAACCCCCCTCCTCCAGGTAAATATTGCACAGTCCCTTAAGAAATTCCAATCTTCACAAGCAAGGTTATGATTTTAACTATAGAGAAGACGTGTCGATGATCGTATTTCACTATTAGAAAGAAGCAGCGGTTGGACGTTTCGATTTCATTGCTGACTTCACAGTCAATAAAATCGTGAAAATCAGAATGTGTTCAGAATGCATGACTAACATATGGAACGGCATTATTTGGATGGAAAGTTTACCTACTTATCGCGTCAATATCCTAACATAAGCTTGGTGTAATAAATGACTGGTGTTTAGTCCCACCTCCTGGATTGCAATTTTGCTTGTGAAAACAACTGTTTTTCCCTTTAATGAAATCTACCAGATATCTTAAGACCACTTGGTTCTAAATGAGTTGATAACCACTGAAGATAATGAGTAATGACTCTAGAAACGATTTAATGAAATGCAAACTGTGAAGGTAAATGTAAGGGATTCATGAGACGTGGGCTGTGTAGGTATATCTTGGGAATTAATACGATGAAAGCTGTGTAGGTATATGTGGGGGATTAATGAAATGTAAGCTGTGTAGAGCTGTGTAGGTATACGTGGGGGATTAATGAGATGTAGGCTGTGTAGGTACATGTAGGGGATTAATGAGATGCACGCTGTGTAGGTACATGTGGGGGATTAATGAGATGCATGCTGTGTAGGTATATGTGGGGGATTACAAAGAATAATGTAAGGTAAATAATAAAAATATACAGTGAAAATAAAACTTATATTAACACTTTGGAAGATGCCTTTGGAAGTAAAAATAACGATGAATTCTCCTCGTCACTTCACGGAAAATTCAAATTACGCCGCTAACTAAAATAACAAAACTGATGCCTGCGATCAAAGAGCTTCCTATTTCCATTTATCTACCTGGGCATGCCTAGGACCAAAACAAATCTCGTAAGAGGTGGTTTTGGTTAGCCTGTGAATCCAGATCAGACGGATTTTGGTGGGATATTCAAATTAGTATATACACACTCGGTGATCTTGATCTATTTCAAGCTTTTTGATTGGTTCGCTATCTCGGGCTAATGAGCACTATTCACCTTCTCGCGAGTGAATAATGCATAATCCATGCAAAAACAAAATGGCCGGCGTGAACTCGCCTTTCGCCAGTGTTTTTGAATGGAAATCCTGAGAATACAAGAAAATGCTGTACCAGAAAATACAAAGAAGGCTATGAAATTTGGCCTGAAAGTTTACAAAAGATAGAAAAAACTTACCGACGTTTCACTTTCGAGCAGTTTCAGGAAATGTCCTCGACAATCACAGATTTCATCAATCTAAACAAACCTGACCGCCAAGTCGTTCTTCACTCGGCATTGGCAGAAACAAATACCGAAATCGCTCTATAGGTTTGCAACGAATTTCCTGTGACAAAACGGTGCTATGTAATTAAGTCGGAGACACCGTAGTCCGTCCCGTCCTTCATGCAATATCTGCTTGAATCACTGAGTCAGACTTTGTCCCGAGATGAAAAGTTTGTTGTTGTCAGTGTTTAAGATATACTAAAAGTTCTTGGCCTCTACCTTCGTATTGAAAGTTCAATAGCAGAAATATTTTGCATTACCAGTGTACGCAGCTCAGGGTCGTGAAAGAATTTGTTTCCCTTCCTAAAGAAGATCCTTCACACTTGAATGTAGTAAACTGTACTTAAACACTTCAAGAGGTCGCACTGAATCTATTCTGGAAATAATCCACTCAACAGGCAGATCGTTCGAGATGAATGAATCACCTAAAGAACATCTGATAAACCCGGTCCATGAAGATGGTAACAAGCCGACTTCGTTGGTATCTTTTCGACTGAAAGAAATCACGAATCAAACAGAGGAATCTGGCCATTCAAACCATGATCATTGCAACCGACAAGAAGTGAACCCTGGGAAAGCGAAACCTGCTCAAGGATCAAATCGCGCCTTGTTCGCCCTGGATATCGTTGTGTGCCTAATATCTCTTCTGACTCTTTTTAGAAACTTTGAAAGCCAGATAACTGGAGGTATAAAATCAGCATTTTATGCATGGCGACCAAATTATTCCGCAAGGAGTCTGTTTTATCGTTGAAATAAATTGTCTTACGCAAAGATCATGCGGAGAGAGCGTGTTTCTTTGTTGTCTCGCGTGTCAGGTCAGCTGTTGTGAAATGGTTTTTTATGCAAAGATAATTTATGCAGCGAACATGGTTATCAACGGGACACAAAGTCGCTCACTCTGATTTTTTCTTTCGGGGAGGGCGACTGTAACACCAGTTATCTATAAGTCAAACGAAATCTAAATGTAAAAAATTGTCATTTCCAACGGCTAACGATGCTCCAACTTGATTGGAGAGATCGCAAACAAATATCTATTCTTGTCATTCAAACTGGTCCGTGATTGGTTGAAAACTCTCTGCTGGCCCAGTCGTAAACGTACGCGATACATTTCACGCCCAGTTTCGTAGTTGTGAAGGACATGTACGTACAGACATCTACAAAGATGGCGCTGTCGATGACAACTTTTTGGCTTGTGCTAATGTTAGGTTGTTCCATGGTTGCCAGTGGACGCACTGGCGAAGAAAATCAGCGCTGTGGTGACCAGAAGTTCTACTGCTCGACGACAGATCAATGTTTCGATCGAAGTCTGAGATGTACCGGATCAAAGGTCTGCGTTGATTCCAGCGGCAATGAAGCAAAATGTTTTGAAAGTAGTACTCCTGGTAAGTACAAGTACTTCAAGAAAACGGCTCCATTGCCGTCTAGTGGCAGCTCCTCTAAAAGGAAACGATCAGTAAGCCTATGGCCAAGTCATTGGTTTGTAGAATACCGTGGCTTTGTTTACGAGTTTGGGTCGTCATACGGTACTCATGAACTTGATGTGAACGATCCCAACTATAAATATGGCCCGAGAGGAGAAAAAATTCTTTCCGAAGATTTGGTTGGAAGCAGCAGTTGTACTAGGGATCAAGTTAACAGCTTCGTTAAAAGGTGGCGCGACGCAAATCCCAACTATAACCTGTTTTTAAACAACTGCCAGCACTTTGCCAAACTACTGCTGGAAGAACTTGGAATGAACTGCCCCAACAGAAGAAGAAGGGAAGTGGACGACACAGAAAGTTTGAAGGCTCCCAGTGAGTGTTTATCCTCTTCTGCAATTCGTTGGAAATTTCACTCTATGTTTGTTCCACTGATCTCACTCGCCGTCCTCCTCAACATCAACTGAACATGGTCGACGTCGGTGGACGCTATCAGTTTGGCATTTACCTTGACTGCTGACAGCCGGATTTTTCTCGAAGGGTCATAGCTCAGTAGTATGCATGGAATATTATAGTTTCCTACTAACAATTCAGTGAATAGTCACTGAGAACTCGTGAACTAAATCCGTAGAAAGTGTGCTACTGCATAAATTAGAGAGGTCAAAAACTGCTAGAGCGATCAGTCTTTCACAGAATGGACACTTCAGTAATCTAAGAAATGTGAATTTAGTTACGAGTGATATATCCGTAACGGCGGAAATTGCTGATCATAAATTCTTTTGTAGTCAGTTGCACCTTTCAGATTAACGTTTTGACAACATTTGTAGTGAAAACGTAGCGTAGCTTGAGGCTGGTAGATCTTGGCATACGTTCATGTTCCTTGACTGCTAATTCCGGGAAAGAGAAATGTTTGTTTTACTACGTTCCTAGAAAGTGTACTGATTTGTCGCGCACGAATAAGACCAATTCAAAATTTAGATGTAGGAGAAAGGTTGCATGGATTGCAACTGGCATAATATTTTGAAAAGTTTCAATTCAGAGTCGCTTTCGTAGCTTCAAAATGACAATAATAGACCACTTAGTATTAGCATAGCACACTGATCGACTATTCGGTAAATGCGCAATGCGCAACCTGGTTAGCTACACGGGTAATGATCTTTAAACGGTCGACAGATTAAGCACCAGCAGCCAGTCAATTCTTGAACTGAAATAGCTTAAGCTTCACGATTTTGTGATATTTCTAAAATAATAACAAATTCGTTTGATTGATCGAACGATCCATGCATGGGTTATCCTGAAAGAATTAAACAGCTCGCTCTGTTTCTATCGGCTTTGGATAGACTAATGGAAACATTTTCTAAGAAACTCGAAAAAGTTACTGTGCTGACAAGGTTACTGATAAGCGAGCAGCGAAACTGAAGAAGAAGGAAAGATTAGTGACATCAAACTTTTCTTTAACTACACTTCCCATCATACGCTAGCCTGAATTTCAGTCGTCTCCAGGAGTCGTACAAATCAAGAATTTCGTCTCGGCGCTAAATGGTCAACATTTTCTTGGTTAGCCCAGCACTCGAAAATTCCCGAGAAAACGGAACTTCTGAAAAGTTACGTTCTGTGGTCCTGGCTGGAATGCTAGTCCATTGCAGGTCACTCCCCCGCAATTTGTTAGGTTTCCCCAACAATTCGCCGGTACCCATTAATACTCCTGGGTGGAGAGAGGCACTGTGAGAGTAAAGTGTCTTGCCCAAGAACACAACACCGTGTCCCCGGCCAGGGATCGAACACGGACCGCTCGCTCCGGGAACGAGCGCACTAACCATGAGGCCACCGCGCCTCCCACATAGAGTGATATAAGGTAAATAATAAATATATGCAGTGAAAAAAAAACTTATATTAACAGTTTGGAAGATGCCTTTGGAGAGGGTGGCAAAGGTAGGGTACCAATCACGCGTCACGCTGAATTTTTCTAATAAATCACGCATCACGGAGAATTTTTTTCACCAATCACGCGTCACGTAAAAATAAGTAAATACGTCGCCAATTTTACTTTCTCAACCCTAAAAGCGTCGTTAAAAAAAGAACTCTGCCGATTCAAACACAAAAATGCGTCGGCAAATATGTCACCTCTCATGCGAAAACGTTCCTTACAGTATCCGTTCGAACGGCTGAACGCACGGCGAGTGAACGGATAATTTAAATAACAATAGTCAGTTTACTTGTTCCAAGATATCTCTTTGTCTGAGAAGCGTGTTCATATGTTTCTACCTGTTTCGCCAATATACGTCGATTGACAAACGGAGCAGCTGAATTTGTACACATGCGATTTACAACGCAAAGGTACAACGACAACCAACGAAATGCGGAATCATGTGGGGGAAGAGTGAATGTACGAAATGTCCGCCGCCTCAAAAGAGAAAAAACACTGTTCGTTCTTGAGATAAAAAAACACACTTGCGCCGTTGTACAGAGGTGACCATTAGTGGAGGTTCGACTGTATAAACAATTTTGACAACAGTCTATCTTTTCGTTGAATGGGCGCCGACAAAACGTCAATTCATATGACTTCAGGTAATCTAAATTTGCATAATTCTTTGACCTGTGTATACTCATAATACAAGGAATTGAACGCTCAGCGTCATTTCACCCAGTTTTCATCGACATTTTAATTTACCGAGAAACTCCCTCTTTTTTAAATTTCTTTTTACGCTTATTGTAAGGTTCAACGCCTCAAAAAAAACAACAAAAAAAAAACAAAAAAAAGCAAGGAAAAAAGAACAGTTTTGAGCGCAGAGAAAGAAAAAGCCAACGCATAGAAAGTTCTAAGTAACGAATACATTATACTGACAAATTTGACAACAATAACCTTTGCCGGAATTGGTGACTCGACTCAATTTTGATTCCACCTTGTCACCCACAGAGGGATCACATGAGATAGCATTGCGGCTGCGTGAACTCAGTGCGTTGTTGCCTTCGTTGTGACGGATTGTCTTTTCTGTCCTGCGAAAACTTGGTTTTTGCCACACACAAGGCCGCCTGATTCGCCTACTAAAACATCGAAAGAAATTCGTGTAGAGATGCACCCGGTACCAGGAGAGAGACCTTCCAAGTCTTCGAGACGCGGCAATGAGAAAGACGGGAAAAACGTCATAATTGACTCCCGTCAAAACGCAGCAAAACGATGAAGACATGGCAAACGCTCAGATCAGTGCTTTGCAAAAATCTATGGAACAAGGCTTTTCCCGGATGGCCGAGTCGTTGACCACGGCCCTAGCTAACACAAACCCACCTTAAGGCAAATGGGACACACAGATGTGGGCTACATTGATGATTCATACTTACAAGGGCCCTCATTTGATGACTGCAGTAATAATGTTCAGGACACTGTCCACTTTTTCACCAAAGTGGGTTTTTTTCTAAATCAAGAAAAATCAAATCTCATACCCAGCCATGAGTTAACATTTTTGGACTTTATCTTAAACTCACTCACGATGACAATGAGACCAACACCAGAGAAAGCTGAAAAGCTGAAAGAGAAATGTTTAGCTGTATTGACAAAAACTCATGTTTAATTTCATGATGTCTCAGAAGTGATGGACTTAATGGTTTCTATGTTCTCTGGTGTTGAATATGTACAGTTTTTCAATAGACATCTAGAAATAAACAAAATCAAAGCTCTGAAAGAAAGTAGGGGAAACTACAACTCAGTAATGATATTGTCAGTTACATCAGTCATAGACCTCAAATGGTGGATCAAAAATGTTGAGAGCTCGTTTAAGTGGATATCCCATGGGGATCCATTACTCTCCCTGTATTCTGATGCCTCAAAAGAAGGGTGTGGGACAGTGTGCAAGGGAGATAAAGCAGGAGGTCGATGGACTGTAACTGAGTTTAACTGTCACATCAATGAGCTGGAAACATTTGCGCTTTTTTTGCTTTGAAATCATTTTGCCACTCAATGACAAATTTTCATATTAACATCTACATAGATAATACCACTGCTGTCTCTTACATAAATGCCATGGGTGGGACTCATTCT